ACTTATTCTATGCATCTGCTCTCCCACAATATGGCGCTGGGAGAGAAGTAAACAGCTTCCGCACAGCTGCCTCCAGTTCAACCAATAAACTGTAGGACTTGCTACTGATTGGAGGAGAGCAGCATACTTGGCGTGTGGGCAGCCGAGTTGGGATTGGCGGAGGAGGACTATAAAGGAGGAGAGAGACGGCATGCACCAGGAACATCTAAGGGGAACATCTATCTGAAGGAACACCTGTGCAGCCCCCCAGAGAGCCGGCTGGCGGTGTGCCGCTCCCCTGCGGAAGTGGGGAATGTGGCAGGGGGAACTGCCCTTCCACGGAGGTGGAAGGGACAGTGGCCAACCCGGGAAGAACCAGCAGCAAACCCGGGGAGGGCCGAGCAGACGAAAGAACAGCGCAGGGTCTTGTGTCGTTCCTCCATGAAGAGGGGGAGCGACAGTAAGCACTTACTACATGCAAAATACTATGACAGGCACTGGGGATATAATATTCTGTAAAGACAGATTCTCCCTTATGGTTGCATAAACTCCAAATTTAATCCTTACTAATAAGTAGTTACTAAAAGATACACAGATTTACTTTCTACATAGAATTTTAGTGAAGGTTAGAATGTTGTTTTATTTCAGTGTGTTTTTAAGGTTTTGTTTTGTAATCAGCTGATTCACATGGATTGCTATCATTTCAGGAAGAATCCGTAATTAAGTATAATTAGAATCTGAATAGTCAAGAGAGAAATTTTCCAAAACTACGCAACAAATCCAAACTCTTCTAATTGGTTAAAAGTTTCATTATTCTACCTAAAACTAATGCCAATTCCGTGTCTGTGAGTATAGATATTCACTGAGTACTGATGTGCCAGGTAAACCAGGGATGCAGCAGAAAACAAGCCAGCCCTGCACGCTGTCCCCAGGGAGCTCTCCACCGCTGCCTTCTCAGTGGGACTGTGCTATTTACTCACAGAAGCAGGTCATCATAAAGAGTTAATGGTAAGAGAGGAAAAAGCAGATTTAAATACAAGCAATGACTAAACAGCTTATAGAAGATTAGAGGAACAAAGGAAGAGCAAGAATCAGGTACTTATTTTTTTTCCTGTCATACAGGGCATTATCTGTGAACTGCAGACAGTTTTAAAGAAGCATTAAGAACAAAGCGGAGATGAGGAGAGCAGAACAAAGGAACCGGAAGCTTTCTGTAGGAATGAGGTCGAGGAGGAAAGTTGGAAAGGGAGGGTGGGGTAAAGCTTAGAAATGAACGGTCAACCTGGCAGTCAACAAATAGTTACTAGATGCAGACTGTCACGCAGAGCCAGGCGGGAGTGAGACAACCAGCGGTCATGAAGGCTCCATCACGTTTTGTGAACCTTGTTTTTGTTTGTTTGTTTTTGACCTCACAGATTTACCACACTACCCTAAACTAGTTTTAACCATGTCCAGTCAAGGGCACGGGCGATGAACGGTAACCAAAGTAAGAAACAATGCAGTTGCTTCTGATTCAGTGCCCTGGAATGCACCTGGGAAGCAGAAGATGATGGCTTAAGTGCTTGGGTCCCTGCCACCTGTGTGGGAAACCTGGATGGAGTTCCTGGCTTCTGATTTCAGCCTGTCCCAATCCCTGCATTGCAGCCATTTGAGGGAGTGAATAGCAGACAGAAGTGCACATGCTCTCTCTCTCTGTTTTTCAAATAAATGAAATTTTTTAAGAGAAACAAATGATGCAGCCTAAATCTATAAATCGGGTTACCTACCCCCTTGGCTTATGTCCAACTCAAAGACACTTTGTTATCAGGGTAGGCAGTTCAAACATTTAAAAAATATTTATTTTCTTAAAATGCAGAATTACAGAGAGAGACACAGAGAGAGAGAGATCTTCCATCTGCTGGCTCACTCCCCAAATGTCCACGATGGCTGGGCTGGGCCAGGTCACAGTCAGCGGCCTGGAGCTTCATCCAGGTCTCCCATATGGCTGGCAGGGACTCAAGCACTTGGGCCATCTTCTGTTGTCCTCCCAGGCACATTGGCAGGGAGCTGGATTGGAAGCGGAGCACTCAGGATTCAAAGCCAGTGCCTACATGGATTGCCAGTGTCACAGGTGGCAACTCAACCTGCTGCACTACAATGTCAGCCCCACAAAAATATTCGTAAATATAAGTGTCTGAGAGGATGACATCTTTGTATTCCACAAACTTCTAAGAATCAATAACTAGGCCGGCACCGCGGCTCATTAGGCTAATCCTCCGCTTTGCAGCGCCGGCACACCAGGTTCTAGTCCCGATTGGGGCGCCGGATTCTGTCCCGGTTGTCCCTCTTCCAGGTCAGCTCTCTGCTGTGGCCAGGGAGTGCAGTGGAGAATGGCCCAAGTGCTTGGGCCCTGCAAAGCACCTGGCTCCTGGCTCCTGCCATCGGATCAGCGTGGTGCGCCGGTGCGGTGCACCGGCCGCGGCGGCCATTGGAGGGTGAACCAACAGCAAAGGAAGACCTTTCTCTCTGTCTCTCTCTCTCACTGTCCACTCTGCCTGTCAAAAAAATAAAAAAATAAAATAAAATAAAATAAAAATAAAAAAATAAAAAAAAAAGAAAGAGTGATGGGGGTGGGGAGAGAGAGAGAGAGAGATCGAGATCTTCCATCTACTGGTTCACTCCCCAGATGGCTACAACGGTCAGGGCTGGGCCAGGCTGAAGCCAGGAGCCAGGAGCTTCATCCAGGTCTCCCACATGGGTACAGGGGCCCAAACACTTGGGCCATCTTCCACTGTTTTCCCAGGTGCATTAGCAGGCAGCTGAATTGGAAGTGGAGCAGCCGGGACTCAAACCAGTGCCTATATGGGATGCTGGTGTCACAGGCAGTAGCTTAACCCACTATGACACCACGCTGACCCCAATTTATACATTTGAGTTGTAGGGGGGAAATTCTTCATAGTCATTAGGTGCCAATGCTAGACCACACAAATGTTCCAAGATGGTTACTAGTCTTCCTTTGCTTAGAACTAATTCTCTTAGGGCAAGAGAATCTGGCTTTCTGGACTTAGAGGTTGCCAAAGCAGGGCAGGCATTCAGTGCAGTGGTTAAGGCACCACTTGGGATGCCCACGTTCCATATCAGAGTGCTGGGTTTGGGTCTCAGCTCCACTACCAATTGAGAAAGGTTGCAGAGTTTCAGGGAAAATATGAGTGTGTTCCGGAGCTTAGTTTCTGGTTCTAGTTCTGCAACTGATCGTTTGAGAACTGTGCTTCATTTTAGTTTCTTATCTGGAAGATGGATGAGAAGAACAGCTGCCTTGGCATTTGCCTGCCAGGAATACACAGAATTTGCTGAAATAATACATGAGCAGTATATCCAGTCATGCTAAGTGCTGAGAAGTACAGTACATTAAGTGTACTCAGAAATTTAAATACTCTGCTGCTGTTCAATAATTTGAAATCAAATTTTAAAAAGCTTTAAGCAGCATGTTTCCAAAAAAAATTCGGTAAAAGAAAAATATTTCAGTAAAAGTTGTAAATGTATGTAACACAACTGCAAAATGCTGTACATCCATGGCTCCCCTGTGATTAAGAGACAGAAACACTAAGAAAAGCAGCATGCAGCATGCAGGCCAAAGAGTTTGGAGCTTTGTTTCTAGGGGTCACTTACAGCTGAAACCCTATATTTTTATTGTTTCCACTGGATTTTTTTGTATTTCAAAACAAACTTTATCAGTTCCCATTTTGTTACGTCAGTCGAGTTAGATTATTAAATTGTATACCCAAATTAATAATCACTTGGGGTGGATGTGGCTGTTCGGGACATCTGTGTTCCAGATTAGAGTGCCTGTGTTTGAGTCATGGCTCTACTCCTGATCCAGATTCCTGCTGATGCACACTCTGCATAGCAGTGGGTGAAGCTCAGGTACTCAGGTCCCTGCCACCCATAGGCGAGACCTGGATTGCATTCCAGGCTCCAGGCTTTGGTTTGGCCTATCGCTAGTGATTGTGGGCATTTGAGAAGTGAATCAGTAGACAGAAGATCTCTCTCTCTCTCTTTTTCTCTCTCTGCTTCCCAAATAAAATGTAAAAAAAAAAAAAGTCTTGATTTTCAAAAGCAAAATGAATGCCTCAAGAAAATACTCAGTCTGTCTTTTGTTTTTTACTTGCTAATGGCTTTCCTCTTTCCCCTTCAGGGCAAACACTAAAAAGCCAGGAGTTGCACAGGTTGAACCATGGATGTTGCCTACTGGCTATTTCACATGATGCAGTATAATATAAAGACCGAGAGGGACTGGCGATCAGACCTCCAGGTCCGTGAGAATGAAGGATGTCGCATGAGGGACGGTTTAGAACCCCAGAGTTCCGTAAAGTCAAAATCAGCTCAAGGCTCAGCTATTGAAATATCTCAGTGCTGTGGTGGTTTGCAAAAACTGAGCTGAGGCTAACTGGCATGGATTACAGACTAATCTCTCTCCTCCTTTAATACAGTAATCCCCTCTTTATCTAGGATTGGACTTTCCACAGTTTCACTTACCCCTGGTCAACTGGGGTCTGAAAATATTAAATGGAAAATTCCAGAAATAAACAGTGAATGTTTTGAATACCTTTTACTATAAATACATACATTATTTATATGTAATATATAATTATTATACTTGTTCAATTTTATTGTTAACTACTGTTAACCTCTTACTGTGTCCAATTGAAAAATTGAATTTTATCATAGATCAGTATGCATAAGAAAAAATGAGTATATAGGGTTGGGTGCTATCTGAGGTTACAGGAATCCTGCAGCTAGGGGAGGATTGCTGTATATTCTATTCTGGGTAAATGTGTAAACAAGAAAACTACTGGGGTAACCAAGAACTCCAGTTGTATGTGGATGAATTTCTACAGGACCCTTTGTCTGTGCTCTACCAGCTAAGCTGCAGCATCAAGCTCACTGAGCCTAGATGACCCGAATATCCAAGGACCAAATTAAACAAAATTCTATTGCTTACCATAAAATTCCAATACACTGTCTGAGTCCAACGATCTTACCTGCTGGTTTGATCTGACATCACTGAAGTTCATTTTTTTCCCCAAGTCTAGAATCAGTGCATTCTTAGTTTCACGAATGTAATCATCACTCACTGGTTGAGGAGACTTGGTTTTCTTCATTAGTCCCTGGGATGGCCTGCAAAATAGATTCACCCCTGATACATCCATGATAAACCCTGCCCAGTGTACAAAGGCTAGAAATCAGAATGAAGTGACAACCAGATACTAGCAGTTATTAGGCATACAGAATCTGTGTTTATAGAAGCATTTAAATCTTTTCATTATTAAAAATGATTCAAAGTATTTGTGCCCTTTGTCCTGAGGTGTTCAGTATCCATTTTGTGTCTGAGAGAGAGGATTGTCTAAGGAATCCTCTGATGGAGAATCCTTTCCCAGATTAAACTGTTCTACACCAAAGCCCCCTCTTAACTGGCATCTCTTACCCTGAGACCCTCATGACACTTACACAGATGGTGCACTTTTAGGCAGCCCCATGGCGTTGGTGGGTGGGATGGCAGGGAGAGAAGGCAGAACAGAGCTGAGGAAAGCCACTGGGTTCTGAATCCGGCCGGTGGGAGACACAGGAGTTGGGGACACGCAACGGGGCTGAAACTGGTTTCCAGTGGGGATGGAAAACGTGAGCGCTGGTTGTGCTGGTTCTGTTGGGCCTGCGTGTGGTGGCTCAGTTTGGATGGAAACCCCGCTTGGAGATTTGGTTTGCACAGAGGGGTGAGAAATCAAGAGGCTTTCTTTGCTCACTGTCCGCTGCATAGTCTGAGGAGTGCTGCTCAGGGTGAACACCGGAGAGCTGGAAGGGGACATGGTAGCCGTGGTGCTGCTTGTGGAGGGGAGGAAATGCTTCGGTCGGGCCAAGTTGAAGGTCTGTGTTGACGGGGCCTTCACCTGCTTGCTGGACATTGTCGCCACGGGGGGAGCAGAGGAATTCAAAACACTCATGTTGAAAGGAAACTCCTTGGGTGAAGACGGAGATGGGTTTTGCAGTTGCTGTTGTTCCAGTAAGACTTGGTTCTGAAGCTGTTGTAATTGAGTAGAATCACTGCACACAAGACAAGAGTGGGGACAGAGGAGGGAAATGTGTTACCACCGGCCTCATTTTTCTGAAAACATACACATAGGCTGCTTAGAACTTGATGCAGACTAGGAACACACAGGGATGGGCATGTGGCCCAGCAATTAAACTGCTGCTTGGGATGCTTGCACCCCATATCAGAGTGCCTGACTTTGAGTCTGGCTAGGCTTCCAGCTCCAGCTTCCCGCTAACTTGCACGCTGGGAGGCAGCAGGTGACAACTCAGATGCTTGGGTCCCTGCCATGCATGTGGGGGACCCAGGTAGACTGGCTCTTGGCTTAGGCCTGGTTCAGACCTGGCTGTTATGGGCGTTTGAGGAGTGAACCAGTGGATGGAAGATCTCTCTCTCTCTCTCTCTCTCTCTCTGACCCTTTCAAATAAATAAACAAATCTTTAAAATAAATAAAATTTAAAAAGTTCTGATTTGAATCATATATTACATGGTCATGCTTTTCTTATTCCTCAAAAGAGAAAGAAGAGCAAGCTGGGATCAGTTTCACAACTTACAGGAGCCTGAATCATGGAGACAAGATTTGCCCCAAGTCCCAACTCTATTTGATTTCTCTTCACATGATGCTTATTTTTTTTTTAAGAAAGAAGATGGAATAAAAATGTCTTAAAGTCATGTATCTATGCAGTCACCATGGCTGCCAAACTTTGCTCCTTGGAAAATCTATTTTTTTTTAAATATTTATTTATTTATTTGAAAGGCAGAGTTAGAGAGAGGAGAGACAGAGATCTTCATGCCTGGTTCACTCCCCAAAAGACTGCAATGACTGGGGCTGGGATAGGCTGAAGCCAGGAACCAGGAGATTCTTGCGGTCTCCTGTGTGGGTGCAGGAGCCCAAGTACTTGAGCCATCTTTCAGGCTCCATCTTCAAGCTTCAGCTCAGCCCAGCCCCAGCTGTTGGGGCCATTTGGGGAAAAAACCAGTGGATGGAAGATCTCTCTCTCTCTCTCTCTCTCTCTTTCTCTTTCTCTGCCTCTCTGCCTTTCAAAGATTTATTTTATTATTTTGAAAGTCATAGTTACAGAGAGAGAAAGGTAGAGACAGAGAGAGAGGTCTTCCATCCACTGGCTCACTTCCCAAATGGTCTCAACAGCCAGGACTGGGCCAGGCGATTGCCAGGAATTAGGAGCTCCTTCCAGGTCTCCCACCTGGGTGCCGGGGCCCAAGGACTTGGGCCATCCTCTGCTGCTTTCCCAGGCACATTAGCAAGGAGCTGGATTGGAAGTAGAGCAGCAGGGACTCAAACAGGCACCCAGATGGGATGCCAATGCTGCCGGCTGTGGCTTTAACCCACTGTACCACAGCCCTGACCTCGAGAATCTACTGTTGCATGAATAACCTTTGGAAGATCCACACATGGTGTTACAGTGCTTCAAGGCCACCGGTTTTCTGTCCTTTGGAAATACATGTTGCCTCTGGAACACAGGGGTTGATCTTGCTGAACCTAAGATCTATTAGAAATGTTTTCCAACCACCAGGAAAGCCAACAACAGTTACACAGTTGAATGAGAAAGTTCTTCAAATCTTGTTTTTTTCTTAATTCTTGAAGTTTGAGACCTTTCTCCTTCCTCTCATTAATATTTCAGGTATACCATCGGTGGAGAAAGTAACTTCACAAAAGAAAGACCCATTTCTGCTTCCACTGTTGCTGTCAAAGGCAACCTACCACACAATCCTTTGTTCAGCCATGAAAAACTCTTTTCTTAAGTTTAACTAAGAATTCAAGAGTATTATGCACTTGTCACAGTAACTTTCTTATCATCCCTTTTTGGAAGTGAGTGTTGAAGCTGAGAGAAAGTAATATAATTAAAATTTAAACTTTTTCATTTCTCTGTACAAGAATATTCAGCAATTAAGAAAAGCCGAAATATCTTTGTTGGATTTTCCTTAGAAAAATATACTCAATTGACATTGTTTCTGTTGCTGATGACTTTTCCCAATAGGATGACAATACATAATCTCTTACTTTTTCATGGATCTCATGTTTGCCATAATACCTTCTGCAACTGTTATAAAGCATGCTGCGTAAAGTAAGTTATACAGTATGTGATTTTCAGGACATGTTTTTTGACCTTAGTGAGTTCTGATTTGATGAAGTTGCAGAAGTAGTTGACTGTGGCTGTGGAAATTGAAGATGCAGTGCAGGAACAGTGATCTCACAAGGAAAAGGATGCCAGTGAGGAGCTGCGAGGCATTTGGTCTTAAGTGGTTCCCATTTCCCTTTACTTCATGTTGAGTGGTAGCTAAGATCCAATTTTCTCCTTTCAGTAAGACTTCAAATGGCCTGCTAGCCCTTGCTGCTCAATGAAATATGTTTGGATTTGGAATTATTTGGAAATACATTGTGTTTGGATGGTAGAGGATCACAAATCTTCAACAAAATGAAATGGAAGATACAGCATCAAATTATTCTGATTAAGATTCTGAAAGAATTCATTTGAGTATGTCTTTTTGTTTCAAATTTTTCTTTGAATTCTATCTTGTTTCAGAAAGGATTTAACACAGCTGTTTGGCTTAGCTGAGTCATCACATCAGGACGAGGTGTTAATTCCGTTCTTCAATGGAATTTTCTCAAGCTTTCTGTGTGTCTATTTTGCTAAGTACTGCAGAAGATTCCACTATGTCTGAGACAGTACATGCTGCCTGAAAAATCCAGTGAGCCGTCCATACATACCACACCACCAGTGGTTGCTTACAGAGAATAGAGGACCCTTATTTATCACTTTCTAGTAAAAGTCTGAAAAACAAGACTGATTTTAAAGCAGACCAGCTCCAAAATTCCGAGTAAACCTTTCATTCAAAGTAACAGCCTGCTGTAAATTGTTGTAAGTTCAGCTGCTCATTTCTTGTTGCTATGGGACCTTTGAAATCATGTTTATACCCAGGCGTTTTTTTATGTAGATTTATCAACTCTCTGCAGTTACCTTAAAATATCTTCCCTTTTGTCACAACCTAATTTAAACTTATGAGCTCTGCACACAGACACACTGAGGTCCCAGTCCTGGCTCTGGGTGGTTTTCTAGACTCTTCTACCCCTGATTCCCTTTCTATGTAAAATGGTAATAATAGCATCTCTTAATGTTGTAGTGAAAACTGATAAACAAATCATGTGAAACATGTAGGTGATTGACAGATGGTGGCTATTACATTTCTTCATTTCCAAACCACAAAAGTCATTTTCAAGAGCTTTACAAATAAATAGCAGAGTTTCTGAATCATAAGGAATACTATACAAAAGAATTTCTTAGGGATTTTAGATTTTTTTTTATTTGACAGATAGACTTAGATAGTGTGTGTGTGAGAGAGAGAGAGAGAGAGAGAGAAAGGTCTTCCTTCCATTGGTTCACCCACAAATGGCCACTACAGCCGGCGCGCTGCGCCAATCCGAAGCCAGGAGCCAGGTGCTTCCTCCTGGTCTCCCATGCGGGTGCAGGGGCCCAAACACTTGGGCCATCCTCTATTGCCTTCCCGGGCCACAGCAGAGAGCTGGACTGGAAGAGGAGCAACCATATCCAGAACCTGGCGCCCATATGGGATGCCAGCACCGCAGGCAGAGGATCAACCAAGTGAGCCACGGCGCTGGCTCCGGGATTTTAGATTTTTGAGATGAAACGTTAGACCAAACAGCACAATGAACTTGGAGCATAGGCTGGAGTACTTTTGAAAGCAATTTTGCAACCGTTTTAGGCCGCGTGGCTTGTGGGCTCTGAGAGGCCACCCAGGGCGGTTCATCCCAACTCGCCACACCGGGAGGACGTTGGCAGCCCGTGGGGACATTAAGCATCTCCCGGGCCGTCACACCCCGACTAGCAGAACTCGCTCTGAGGAGATAGGGGCTGGTTTTAGCAGTCTTGCTGGCAGCAGTTTGGAATCACTGGAGACCACAAAACACAAACCAACCTCGCAGATTTAGGCACCACTTCCCAGAGAGTTAATTGGTGTGAGCAGGGATCCAGGCTTAGTTATTATTACTTTTCAAATGTAGGCCATTTGGCCGGCGCCGCGGCTCACTAGGCTAATCCTCCGCCTAGCGGCACCGGCACACCGGGTTCTAGTCCCGGTCGGGGCGTCGGATTCTGTCCCGGTTGCCCCTCTTCCAGGCCAGCCCTCTGCTGTGGCCCGGGAGTGCAGTGGAGGATGGCCCAAGTGCTTGGGCCCTGCACCCCATGGGGAGACCAGGAAAAGCACCTGGCTCCTGGCTCCTGCCATCGGATCAGCGCGGTGCGCCGGCCGCAGCGCGCCGGCCGCGGCGGCCATTGGAGGGTGAACCAATGGCAAAAGGAAGACCTTTCTCTCTGTCTCTCTCTCTCACTGTCCACTCTGCCTGTCAAAAAAAAAAAAACAAAAAACAAAAAACAAAAAAAAACAACAACAACAACAACAAAATGTAGGCCATTCGTTCTTGAACTTCAGCCAGCCTCAGAAGTCCCTGTAGGGCAGCTTCAAACACAGATTTCTGGGCTCACCCCAGTTTCTGACTCTCAGCCCCAACTTCAGTTCATGAGAACTTTCACTCCTAAACCCTTGGGGAGCCTGGGGATGAAGTGAAAGCTGCCAGCTCCTTGTTCTATGCTTTGCAAATATCTAATCTCTTCCACCATGCTCTTGTCAGATGGCCTACTCTGCTCACAGGCGAGCCAGCCTGGTTTAGGGGTTCTATAGCAACTCCTTTGACTAGTTTTGGGAGATGCTGTTCTGAAACAAAAATCTAGAAAATTAATTTCTGTGATTCAGAAATTAAGAAATATAATAGTCACCATCTATCAATCACATGTATGTTTTAGGTGCTTTATATATCAATTCTCACAACAACATTGAGATACTTTTATTACTATTTTACTTATAAGGGAAACAGGGTCAGACAAGTCCAGAAGCTGCCCAAAGCCACATAGAGAATGAGTGACAGAACCAGGATTAGAACCTAAGTATGTCTGTCTGCAGAGCTCATAAGCTTAAATTAAGCTGTGACAAACAGGAAGATATTTTAAGGTAACTGGAGAGAGTTAATAAATCCATAGAAAAGAAAGCTCGGGTATAAACATGATTTCAATGATCCCATAGCCTGAATGCTGGAGTCAGGAGTTGCGCCAGGCACTCCTGATATGGGATGCAGGCTCTTTTTTTTTAATTGATTTGAAAGAGTTACACAGAGAGAGGAGAGGCAGAGAGAGATAGAGAGAGAGAGAGAGAGAGGTCTTCCATCTGATGACTCCCCAGTTGGCTGCAACAGCCGGAGTTGCGCTGATCCAGAGCCAGGAGCTTCTACAGGGTCTCCCATGTGGGTGCAGGGGCCCAAGGACTTAGGCCATCTTTACTGCTTTCTCAGGCCATAGCAGAGAGCTGGATTGGAAGTGGAGCAGCCGGGTCTTAAACCAGCTCCCATATGGGATGCTGGTGCTTCAGGCCAGGGCGTTAACCTGCTGTACCACATGGCCAGCCCCAGGGGTGCAGGCTCTTAACCACCATCTTTGTTGTTGTTGTTAAAGATTTATTTATTTATTTGAAAGCTAGTGTTAGAGCAACAGAAGGAGAGACACAGAGAGAGATCTTCCATCTGCTGGTTCACTTCCCAAATGATTGTGTCAGCCAGAGCTGGGCCAGGCCAAAGCCAGGAGAAAGGAGCCAGGAACTTTATCCTGGTCTCCTGTATGGGTGGCAGGAGGCCAAGCACTCAGACCATCTTCCACTGCTTTCCCAGGCACATTAGCAGGGAGCTGGATTGGAAGTGCAGCAGTTGGGACACAAATTGGCGCCCATATGGGATGCCAATGTTGCAGGTGACAGCTTAACCTGCTGCACCACAATGCTGGCCGACTTAATATGCATCTTAACCACTAGGCTAAATGTTGGCCCATTGCCCTGCAAAACCTGGGAGGTCTAGTGGTTGACAACAGCATCCCATTCTGTAGTACCTGGGTTTGATTCCCCTTCCCAGCTCCTGACTTTGGTTTCCTACTAATGCAAACCCTGGGAAATATCAGTGATGGCCCAAGGAATTGGATCCCTGAACCCACTTCGGAGACCTGGATGACATTCCAGACTCCCAACTTTGGCTTCTGTCCCCCACTGATATGGATGTTTGGGGAATGAACCAGTAGATGAAAGATCTCTCTTTGTGTTTGTCTCTCTATTTGTTTCCTCTCTCTGCTTCTCAAAGAAATAAATTTTAAAAATAAAATAAAAGCCAGGGATGGGTATTTGGCATAGCAGTTAAGGTACCATTTAGGATGTCTGCATGCTATATCGAGGTGCCTGGGTTCAACTTCTGGCTCTCTCTCTGATTCCGGATACCGTGCATCCTGGGAGGCAGCATGTAATGGCTCAAGTGCCTGAGTCCTTGCCACTTAATATGGGAGCTCCGGGCTGAGTTTGTGGCTCCTGGTTTCAGCACAGCTCTGGCTGTTGCACAGGCATTTGGAGAGTGAGCCAATGAACAGAAGATCTCTGTCTGTCTGTGTCTCTCTGCCTTTCAAATAAACAAATGAAGATTATTAAAACCCAAAGAAGGGACCGGCGCCGTGGCTCACTAGGTTAATCTTCCACCTGCGGTGCCGGCATCCCATATAGGTGCTGGGTTCTAGTCCCGGTTGCCTCTCTTCCAGTCCAGCTCTCTGCTGTGGCCCGGGAAGGCAGTGGAGGATGGCCCAGGTGCTTGGGCCCCTGCACCTGCATGGGAGACCAGGAAGAAGCACCTGGCTCCTGGCTTTGGATTGGCATAGCTCCGGCCGTGGTGGCCAATTGGGGGGTAAACCAACGGAAGGAAGACCTTTCTCTCTCTCTCTCTCACTGTCTAACTCTATCTGTCAAAAAAAAAGTTTAAATAAAAAAAAAACCCAAAGAAGTTAAAACTAGCAAGAAAAAAGTAGACAATGGATAACAAAGAGTGTGTTTAAGTGTGTGTGTTCATATACATGTATATTCATACCTATACTAATATAAACATACACACAATTAAGAAAAAACTTAGGGAAAGGAAAGAATAATAAAGAATTATATGGTGCTGAAGACAGGATTTTTAGAAAGTACCAGTAAAGAATTTAGCACAAAGAATTGCAAATCTCATTTGGCAGATATGTCTGTCTACTTAATTCTTGCTCTCTGTTATAGAACCTGATTTTATTCACGGTGGCGATCTGTGCATCAAAGACCACCTCCTTTGTAATGAGTATACCATTACAAAGGAGGACCAATGCTGGCCAATGAGATAAGCAGAAGATTTGGGATGAGACTTCCATTAAGGCTCCCTAAAATGGGTTCCTTAAAAACAATTCTGATATAAAGAGTGTGACTTCTGCCCATTGCTTTCCTGCTACCTGAATGCAGGCGAGATGACCAGACCACCATGAGCTACCTTGGACTGTGAGGGGACTTGGAGAAATGCCAGTGTGGCAGCTGGCAGGGCAGACCACGAAGCACCAGAGCAGCCCCAGGCTCCTGTCCACTCTATGTAAGAGAAAAAACCTCTCCTGTGTTCAACCTCTGTTAATTCAGGTTTTCTGTAAAGCTCAACTTAATCCTAACTGACCTACCTAATGGCCCCTAAAACTGTCCCTGGGCAAGGGAGAAAACCCCATGAAGGAGGCAGTTCCCCAGGCAGTTGTTTAGGGTTAGCTGTTCCCTAAAATTCCCTTCTCTGAGACATTCCCCACCCACGGGTCCTGATTTGACCCATGTGGCTCTTCCTTCCAAACATAATTCCTCTGCACAGCTGAGTAGACTGGGAGTAGGGAGGAGTGGCTGCCTGACCAGATCGGACCTATTGAAATGTAGAATCAAACTGTGAACAACTAAGTCCCCAGTGGCACTTGACACAGGTCGTGGTGCAGTATGGGAACACGTGCTCTTGATGGGCCACATGGGAACTGACGAGTCTTCAGGAAGAGAAGCATGGAGGAGACAGGTAGAGAGGAAAGGGGAGCTGCTCAACGGACAGAGGGTGAACCAGCTGTGCCGACTCCAGTTGGCTGGGCTGGCCAAGTGATCCCCGACTGACAGGCGAGGAGTTCAAGCTCCCAGCTCAGCAGTTCTTCCGTAGAACTTGGCTGCTTTTGCTGCCTGTGTCTCTGAAACAACCCCTCCCCCTCTTCTGACTTTAGGTGGATGCTTTCTCCTGTGACTGGCATGGCTTTGAGTGGAATGAGACATTTTTGGTTGTAACTTGTTGAGAGTCAAGTTTCATGATATTAAAATTTTACATCCAGGGCCGGCGCCGTGGCTCAATAGGCTAATCCTCCACCTTGCGGCGCCGGCACACCGGGTTCTAGTCCCGGTCGGGGCGCCGGATTCTGTCCCGGTTGCCCCTCTTCCAGGCCAGCTCTCTGCTATGGCCAGGGAGTGCAGTGGAGGATGGCCCAGGTGCTTGGGCCCTGCACCCCATGGGAGACCAGGAAAAGCACCTGGCTCCTGGCTCCTGCCATCGGATCAGCGCGGTGCGCCGGCTGCAGCGGCGGCCATTGGAGGGTGAACCAACGGCAAAGGAAGACCTTTCTCTCTCTGTCTCTCTCTCACTGTCCACTCTGCCTGTCAAAAAAAAAAAAAAAAAAATTTTACATCTGGAATTTTGCTGTGTGTAGTGAGAGGACTGTAGAACCAAATGGTGTGAGTGGCTTGCAGTGAACAGCTCCCAGTCGGCACTGGGCCACACACGATGCTGTAGGTCTTGAGTTGACATTTAAAGGCTGATGTAACTATAAGTGGAAATGTTATCATTTTGATGTGTGGATGACACAGAACAGTGCAGTTGCATCATGCTCTGTATTTGCTTTGCTATGGATGGACAATAAACATTGCAAACATGGCTCTGACAGACGCTCTCTAGAGGGTTCTGACAACTGCCACAGCAGGCTCCTTGGTTGAGTCAGAAAACCGTGACTTCTTCTTCTATCCTATTATATGTCTATAAAACCTACTATGACTACTGCAGTGTATCCAGCAATAGCAAAAAATGGTCTCTGAATAGCTTCTTTCTAATGATTACAAAAGCTGAAACTAAAGCAGAAGTGGGAAACAGAAGGGTGAAATTACAGACTCTAAAGATGTTAGTTGTGAGAAAGGGCTTTACCACAAGCATGTAGAAGTGTCTCACCTGGGGGCCTCTAATGCCAGGCGATTGTCTCTCTGGGTTGTTTGGTTGAACCATTGCTTGGAGGTAGAATGTTAGTAATAAGGATGATATCAGAGTACCTTAAACTGATGTACGGATGTGCTGTCTGCAAAGCCTTTAATGTGTGTTTTCTCATTTGGTAATTCCTTTTAGAGCGCCATCATTTTTAGGAAGGTCTGATTCAAGAGAAGCTCACAGGCACTCTTGGTTATCCATTCTAAGGTTTACTTACAGTTTGGGCTTGGCCAGAACTGGAGGGGGTTCCTTGATGGGTGAAGATGGCTCCTGGAATTTTGCTGCCTGGCCATTAAACCTCCCCTGGAAAGAGTCAGGCCTCGTGAGGGGGGCGGTCGCCACTCCACTCTCAGAAGATGCCTCGCTTCCTTTGTCATCTTCAGGCAGGTTGAAGTGAACGCGGAGCCCGATCCTGGAACTGGATCTGGGCTCGTTGTGGTTCACCAGAACCCCTTCAAGTTTGGGTTTGGGGGGTTGTTCTGCAGAAGGAGGCTCTGGGTTGGGTGGGGATGGCTGTTGCTCAGTAACAGCCAGGTTGGTGGTGGAGTTGGCTGAGTGTAGAGACCCGTTGTTGCCCAGGTCTTCATTGCCTGCAAGAACAATCACAGGACCCGGGCTGTTAGCCTTACCCAACAAGACTGCAATGGCACTATAGCACCCAGCTGGGGGCAGGTATACAGATGGGAAAGTATTCAAGCTGAATGGGCGCACAAATGGGAAAATGCCTGTCAAACATAGATAATAATCTAGGCCATGAAGGAATAGTGAAGAGGCAAGAATAAAACTGAATTAAAAATTTAAGTAATCATTCAGAAATAATTTAAGAAATTTATATAAGACCAAGGAGATTTTTTTCTTAGAAAGTACAGTAGTTTCTTCTTTGTCCTCAGGGGATGTTGTCCAAGACTCCCCTGTGGAGGCCTGAAACTGTGGAGAGTACCAAAGGATTTTTCCTATATATCCTGAAGTGTTGCCACATAGTGCAGAGTTAATCTGGCCTTCCATGTCTCAAGCCGTGGTGCCTCCTTTGTGTCACTACTCTTGCAGTTCAGGGTTATTATTAAGTAAAATAAGGGTTTCTTGAACACAAGCACTGAGATATTGCAGTAGTCAATCTGATAACTGACTCAGCTACTCAGTAACCGATTGGTGGGTAGCATATACAGTGTGGATACACTGGACAAAGGAATGGTTCATGTCCTTGGCAGGGTGGAGTGTTACCTCATAAGATTTCATTATGCTGCTCAGAACAGACTGTAATTTAAAACCTAGGAATTCTTTATTTCTGAAATTTTCCACTTAGTATTTTTGGAGTGGCAGGTAACTAAAACTGCAGGAAGCAAGAACATGAGGCAAGGGCTGGTTATTGCATTCAGGTGACAGCAGGATAGCTGGGATGGGACGGGGTGGCTCTCAATGCAATAAGAAATTGAAAACTGGACATTGTTCAAGAGCAGTTTCCTCAATAATTCAAGTCTTCTTAGGAGAGCCAAGTTAGTTGTGTATGAAAAACAGTCGGGGAGGGGAACCCAGACTCTGTATATTCACACTCAAAGTCGTGGTCCAGACGGGTCTGGCACCTAAGGAGCCCTTACCTCTCACATCCAGCTGTGCAATGCTTGACACTGTGCCATACTTGTTGCTTGCAGTGCATGTGAAGCATCCAGAGTCTTCTGCAAACACCTCGGCAATGACCAACGTGCAAATCTCCTCTATGTGTCAGGAAAACAGAATGGTTACTGTCTTAACTATGAGAATAGACTTAAGCTTCAGCTCCTGACTCCAGCTTCCTGGTAATGCAGACCCTGGGAGGCAGCAGGCGATGGCTCAGTAGTTGGGGTCCTGCCACCCACATGGGAGACCTGTGTTGAATTCCTGGCTCTTGGCTTTGGCCCTGGATATTCTGAGCATTTGGAGAATGAACCAGAGAATAGGAACTTTCTCTTCCTCTGTCTCTCAAATAAATAAATAGCTTCCAAAAAGTGAATTATGGAATTTATTATCAGATGATAATTCTACAAAAGTCAATATAAGAAGCTGACTGTCTTGTCTTAGAAAACAATCAGCCTGCCACCACTGCAGGTGGAGGTTTTATCAGCTATGCCACAGCGCCAGCCCCCATATTTGTGTTTTTAAATCTGTTTTACAAAGTCTATTCACTACTTTTAGAACTTCTGATAAAGATAAAAAAGCATAAATACTTTATGTACACGTTAAATGTAAAATATTAAATTTGGTTTACATGAATTTATTCAAGCACTTACACATTCAAGTGAGAGAGAGGAAGAGACCAAAAGAGAATGAATGACTTCAAATCTGATGATGATTTCACTTGCCATTCTATTTGCTGATTCTACAGACCCAAGTGAAACAGGAAAGGTGATGGGCCTATGCCTTTCTCTCAGCTTCTCATTTCCCACCAATACCTCTCTAAGGAGTTTAGTCTTGTTTTCAAATTACAAGATCCTTACATGTGGGGAGCAACTGAGACTAGACTAAATTACTGGAACTAGGACTAATTCTATGCATCTGATCTCCCACAATATGGCGCTGAGAGAGAGCAAACAACTTCTATGCAGCTGCTTCGCCAATTTGACTGATAAACTGCAGGAGCTGATCCTGCTCCTGATTGGAGGAGAGCAGGATGCTCAGCTTGTGGGCAGCAGAGCATGGATTGGTGGAAGAGGACTATAGAGGAGGAGAGAGACAGCATGCACCGGGGAATATCTGGGGAACATCTGAGCAACCCCTGAGAGAGCCGGCCGGCGGTGTGCCGCTCCTCTGCGGAAGCAGGGAAAGCGGAGGGGGTGCTGCCCCTCCGCGGAGGCGGGGGGGGGGGGGGGGTCGGCAGCTAAGCCGGGACAGCGTCATTCCTCCATGAGTGAGGGAATGAACGGGAAGGGCCGGGCAAAAAGAACAGCGCAGGGTCCGGTGTCGTTCCTCTGGGAATGGGGGAGTGACACTTACACTTAAGTCAATTGCTTTAATAGGTAATCAACTAAAGCAGCAGCAATTTGTATGATAAAAATAACTACTTGACATAATGTGTTAGCCCAATGTGACACCTGCTTTGAAAAAGCTCAAGGAGGTCTGTGCTGTGGTGTAGCAGGTAGAGCTACCACCGGCAGTGCCAGCATCTCATGTGGGCACTGGTTTGAGTCCTGGCTACTCCACTTCTGATCCAGCTCTTGCTGTGGCCTGCATGAGCAGTGGAGGACAGCCACACTGGGAGACCTAGAGGAAGCTCCTGGCTCCTGGCTTCAGATCAGCTTCGGATCAGCTCAGCTCCGGCCTTTTAGGGGTGAACCAGCAGATGGAAGACCTCTCTCTCTGGCTCTACCTCGCTCTGTAACTTTTAAGTAAGTAAAATAAATCTTAAAAAAAAAAAAAAAAGAAAACAATCAGCCAAACAATTATTGACTGAACTGACTCATTAGCAGGCTAAACAAGTCAAAGGACATAGAACCAGTAACTCCACACAGACTGAGTGCTGACAAGGGGATTTTACAATACTATATTAAGTATATATTCTTAGATGATCTATTTTTTAAAGATTTATTTATTTGAAAAAGATATAAGGAGAGAGAGAGTGAGGGATCTTCCATCCCCTGGTTCACTCTGGAAGTGGTCACAACAACCAGGGCTGAGCCAGGCCAAAGCCAGGAGCCAGGAATTTCATCTGGGTCTCACACATAAGTGGCAGGGGCCCAAGCACTTGGGCCATCTTCTGATGCTTTTCCTAGGCCACTAGTAGGGAGCTGGACTGGAGGTGAAGCAGCCAGGACAGAAACCAGCACCCATATGGGATGCTGGTGTTGCAGACAGTGGCTGTACCTGCTGTGCCACAATGTCAGCCCCCAGATGATCTTCTATTTTAATGTCATCAGTCTAGATGGCAAAAATATAATTAACAAGGCCAGCGCCGCGGCTCACTAGGCTAATCCTCCGCCTGCAGTGCCGGCACACCATGTTCTAGTCCCGGTTGCTCCTCTTCCAGTCCAGCTCTCTGCTGTGGCCTGGGAAGGCAGTGGAGGATGGCCCAGGTGCTGGGCCCTACACCCACATGGGAGACCAGGAGGAAGAACCTGGCTCTTGGCTTCAGATCGGTGCAGCGCGCCAGCCGTAGTGGCCATTTGTGGGGTGAAGCAATGGAAGGAAGACCTTTCTCTCTGTCTCTCTCTCTCACTAACTCTGCCTGTCAAAAACAAAACAAAACAAAACAAAAAACAAACAAAACAAAAACAAAAACAAAACAAAACAAAAAACACTGAAGAATTCCATATGTAGTGTCTATACCAGTTAAACTTTCCCTTACACAAATCACTATCATGGATAAGTGATTTATTAAAAAAATAGAATTAACAATAAACTTAGAAAATCACACACAAAAAATAAGTAGTCAAATAAAAAGGATGAATGAAAGTTTCTAAATCAGGTTTCTCATTATTTCCATGGGAAACACTGCAATGAAGTAATAGTAAACAAAGTCTACAATTTTTTTTAAGATTTATTTTACTTATTTGAAAAGTAGAGTGATAGAGACAGAGAGAGAAAGAAATCAAGGAGCTGGCGCTGTGGCATAGTAGGTCAAGCCTCCGCCTGTGGTGCCAGCACCCCATATGGGTGCCGGTTCAAGTCCTGGCTGCTCCACTTCTTATCCAGCTCTCTGCTGATGGCCTAAGAAAGCAGTGGAGGATGGCCCAAGTGCTTGGGCCCCTGTGCCCACGTGGAAGACCTGGGTTTGGATTGGCCCAGCTCTGGCTGTTGCAGCTATTTGGGGAGTAAACCAGCAGATAGAAGACCTCTCTTTCTTTCTCTCCCTCTTTCTGTCTGTAACTCTATCTCACAAATAAATAAATAATTTAAAAAAAATAAAGAAAAAAGAAAAGAAATCTTTGATCCACTGGCTCAGAAGCAGAGAAGCTGGGGCTGGAGCTGGTGCTTCAAAATGGGACACGGGTGCTGCAAGTGGTGGCTTCACCGAGTGTGCCACATCACTGGCCACAATTTAAAACTGGACACCACATAAACATCTTGTTATTTCTAGTAGTTGATAGATTAACTTGAAATTGTGGGTAAAATAAGAATGATTAGTATGGATTATTCCAATACAGAGTATGAACCCTTGTGAATAACTACAGGGTGATTCTCAGATTGAACGACATGTCTGAAGACTAAAATTATTACAGCTAGAATTCCTTTTCTGTTAATAAAGAGGAGGCATAAGACAGAGCATACCCTCCAGTTATCACTCAGTAGGTCTGGCATTAAAAGCAAAATTATTAAAATACGCTTGTTTTAGAAGAAACTTGGCATCTCAGTGCTTCAAGACAATCGAATTGGGTGGGTGTTTGGCGCAGTGGTTACAATGTTGGTTGGGATGCCTGCCCGTAGCAGAGTGCCCGGGTTCGAGTTCCAGCTCTACTTCCAATCCAGCTCCTGCTAGCGCACACCCCAGGAGGCAGCAAGCACTTGGTTCTAATACGTGGATCCTCACCACCTTCAAGGGAAACCAGATTGACTTCCTGGCTCTTGCACTTGTGCTGGTCCAGCCCTGGCTTTTGTGGGCTTTTGGGGAGTGAACCAGAGAATGGAAAATCTCTCTCTGTCTCTATCTTTCAAACAAAATGAAAATAAGCAGGAATTTTTTTTAAAGGTACTGAATTAATTAGACAACTTCTAGGAAAACTGGCAGGAGGCCATGGCTGGCATATTGAGGCCCTACTCTGTGACTCTTCACCCTCCTCCTATCTTATTGATAAAACTCTGGTGTCACCCAGGTTCCGTGCAGTGGTCATGTACTTCAAGGTGTGGTGGCCCCTCTCAGCCTCAGGTGGTGAATCATGATTAATCTAATACAGACATGCTAACTCCTTTCCTGTTGAGTGGTGGCAAGCGACACACAATGCTGGTCAATGAGACATCAGGGACAATCTTCTGGGAAAGTTTTCTTTTGCTTTAGAAAGGGGACAGAAGATGGTGTTCTTCCCTGTTTTTGCCTCTGAGGGTTGTTATGTATAGGTGAAGCCCTAACTGTGGCAGCCATCTTGGGTTCATGAGTAGAACTAATTGAAGAGGAAACTCTGAAGCTGGCAGAATGAAAAGTGGTTTGGTTTCTGGTGATCTTTGAGCTGCTAAAATAACCAGTGCCAGGACTGCCACTTCTTAGGGAGTCTTCCTAAGTGAGAAAATAAAATTTCATATTGTTTAGGCTACTTTTAGCTAGATCTTCTTTATTTGATACCTAAAGAATCCCAAGTGAAGTAGAGACTGAGTTTGGTTTTGGTGCCTCTCTCACCTGTTTTCTTAACTCTAGACTTGCGCTTCCTTCTCCCTGTTCCCCTTCCCAAATATTTAGACTCTTATCTTTCAGCAGCCTGCTCTCAGAAAAAGATCTGGTAACTCACTCACGCTACACTACACTGGCCTGATAAGGTGCCCCATCTCCAAAGGGTATTCATGTTACACAGGTGAAATGAAGAACTCTATTGCTATGGAATTTTAGAACATGGAACTGAGAAGGAAAAACTTATTTGGGGCAGTGCTCCTTTTTGCCTAACTCTAAAGTTATTTTTTGTGCATGACTGCCAAATGAAAAAGCCCACTCTGGATAGAGATGTCAAAGACCTGCAACATTTTCAAGGGAAAAAAATTCTGCTCCACCATAAGCAGTGTCAAGAGAAAGACCAATTCTGGTCTTACTATTCATCCCGAAGCCCAATAGGGCTGTACAACCTGGATATTCCATGTCTACTTCTTGGATGCCTTTCTACCCAGCAGTCAGAAGAAAGAACTATAATAAAATTCCAAACCATCTTTTCCATGTAGTGTTATAAAAACAATCTAGTTTTATAGGGTGATAACAGAGAGGGCATTCAGCTGTTAATGCCCTTGTTTGAATTGAGATTTTTTTTCTTCACCTGCTGTTGCTTCTATCTATCTGATGTTAGTATCCTTCCAACTAAAACTTTATTGAATTTATACAAATTCCAGAATCAGAATCAGACACAGAGGATGTCGAAGTGAAAATGATCTAGCTTCGTGGAAGTTGCTATGCCCAGTTTAGGAAGGGCCTGATGGGGACCAGGACAGAGGGACAATTCCCAAACACTCCACAGTGATCAAGAACTAGCTGCACTAGGCCGGCGCTGCAGCTCACTAGGCTAATCCTCCACCTAGCGGCGCCGGCACACCAGGTTCTAGTCCCGGTCGGGGTGCCGGATTCTGTCCCAGTTGCCCCTCTTCCAGGCCAGCTCTCTGCTGTGGCCAGGGAGTGCAGTGGAGGATGGCCCAAGTGCTTGGGCCCTGCACCCCATGGGAGACCAGGAGAAGCACCTGGCTCCTGCCATCAGATCAGCGTGGTGCGCCGGCCGCAGCGCGCTGGCCGCATCGGCCGTTGGAGGGTGAACCAACGGCAAAAGGAAGACCTTTCTCTCTGTCTCTCTCACTGTCCACTCTGCCTGTCAAAAAATAAAAATAAGAAAAAATAAAAAATAAAAAAAAGAATTAGCTGCACTGATGTTGGGTATTGGGTAATATGTTTCAAATTTATATCTGCTCCTGTCCTCTTCTCCTACAATTATAGCTAGTGTTCATTGGGTCTTTTTTCTTAAAATGTTATTTTTAGATTTTTATTGACACCATCAACATTTCAATTTTTTAAAATGTACATCAAATCACACACTAGTAAACTGAAGTTGAAATGGTCTTTACCTGGCTCTGCCATGGACCGAGGTTCTAGAAGGAAAAAAAAAAAAAGATTCTGAGCATTTATTTTACCAAGAGGCTACACTTCCACCAGTAGCTTCCTATAGAATTTCATAGTTGCTTGCATATTTCAGGAGTGGTTTGAAAGGTTAATGTGCCCAGGTTGAGTACAATGATCATTATTAGTAGGGTGAGAATGGATACCACAGATGGCAGCAAGAGAGCGATTGACTAAATGATGTTACTGCAGCTTGGAACACAAGCAAGAGAGAGTTTCTGAGTTAGCTGGGATTCAGAACATGAGTTGCTTTTATTGGTGCTTATGTGGCTTTACCTGAAAATAAAGTTTGTGAAGATTGAGAGCGCATTCTTCTCTTTGGGCTCTCATATCCTAATAGCATGTAGGCTATAGCTCCCGCTCTAAGGTTTCTAATGTCCAGAGCCTCAGGATGGGTGACGGTGTCTTCAAAAGCAGGGTCTTTATCTTAAAATTCTCTGGCATTCCTGAAAATGCCCATTGTGATACTAAATACAGGGGTTCTATTGATGTTTATTGAATAGCTGGCACTTGATACATAGTTGTTGAACTTAGTTACAATCTTCTACACTGATAAAAACATTGGGTTTTCTTTTTCTCACGGTTAACTGGTATTCAGAATCTACTATGGCTGCTGCTACTCTGCTAACACCTGGAAGTTCTGATTCTTATAGCACACTGTTCCAAGTATTATTGCTTTGTAATAGGCAGAAACAAATGTACAAAAATGAAATAACTCATCACAAAAAGCGTTAGTATGTGAGATAGTGCATGTTCATTATTCTGATACAGCCTTTTCACAGTATATACATATTTCAGAACATCATGCTGTACATGATAAATTATAGCATTTTTATTCATCAAAAATAAAGTTACAAGCCATATATATCATTATAAAATATGAAAAATACAGAAAATGCTAAAGGAAGCAAAACAAAGGACCCTGGGTGCCCAGAGTCCACCAACATTTTAAATTTCCTTGCCAAGTTTTTCTATAATAGATTGTTCTACATAGTTAATAAAAACACACAGTTTTTAAAAAACAAGTAAGTTGCAACATATTTTGTGACTAAAATGGGTCAGGGAGAAAACCCTGCATGACAAGATAAAAGCAGAATGCACTAAGGAAAGAATTAGGCGCTTGAATACATAAATCATTCTTACAATAAAAAAAGAACAAAAGCCCAGTATAAAATAATTTTAAAACCATACAAAGACCTGAGTATATGTGAAAAAACAGTTCCATGCCACAACTGATTAGTAAAGTGCAGATCAAGTCATGTGTTCCCGTGTTTGACCTGTAGATCTAGTGAAGATTTTGCAAAGAGGTTAACACCCACTCTTGATGAAGATATGAGGCAAAAGGCATTCCCATGTGTTGCTGGCAGTAGTAGAATGCAGCTGGGCTGATGTGTTCTAGTTCAACTGGGACAGACCCACTTTATGCTGGGATCCCTGTGTAATTATTAATACCCCCTCTTTCACTCCTCCCAAGTCTCCATTTGGCTGATCAGTTGTGTGATCATCTTAAATTTAAAGCAACTTTTTGGAACAGCATTTTAGCAATATATGTTAAAAGCCCCCCAAAATGAATTTATGGTAGCAATTCTAGTACTAGAAACTTATTCCAAGGTAATAACTATAGATATTCACAAAGATTTGGTCTGTTAACATGCATTGAAGCATAGTCTATGATAGTAAAAATTTGTGAAAGATCTAAATATTCAACAATAGGAGGGTAAATAAATATGGAATTGATATTACTGACTTCTTTTTAAAAGTAAGAAAACTACTTGCTATCACAAAAAGTATTCATGAGATTTTGAGTAAAGAACCAATTTATAAAGAAGAGCAAGTGTCATTTTTATTATAAAAATACATGCAAAAATTCTTGGAGAATATACACCTGGAGATTAACAGGGTTTAAGTTTGGGGGAGTATGATTACAAAGGATTTCTATTTTAGTTTTTGACTACATTTTAATTCATTGTTAAAAAGTTCTAAGAATAAACACAGGTAATTGACATATAAAAATGAGTTATCAGAAAAGTAATTTTAAAGCATCAACTTACTTTTCTGTAAAATCCTAAAATCTGGAGAATCTTCTATCAAGGTCCCTTCTCGATACCACTCGACTTTAGGAGATGGGGCTCCCTTTACTCTGCATTCAAACACGACCAGCTGACCCTCAGAGGCTGACAAATTCTGTAGCATCTACAATGAGAAGACTAATGTTAAAACCAAAAAGAGTACATGCTTTTGGAATCTAGTTTCCGTACTGAGTTTTAGAAAAAGCTACCACCTCCCCTGTGTTTGGATTCTCTCCAGATCTTCTCCATCTCTACCAGCTTCAATGCTGTGGATGCGCAGTGGGCCTATTTTTGAAGATAGAACCATCTAAGTCCGTGTAAGCTTTCTCCTCACTATCTTCTGCCTTTCCTATTTGGTTGCAGTGCTAAGTAACTTTTTAAAATATTAAGTAAAACATTTTGAGTTACTAATTGTCAGTACCTCCTTTCTGTTTTTAAATGCCCAAGTAGAGTTTGTTTTCCAGGAGAAAATACTAATTTAAAAATCTGCAATATCTATTAGGTGCACTCATCATGGGAGTAAGTCATGATTCCACGAAAGAATGTGGCTGTTGGTGATGTGGATCAGCTCCGTGGCCCAAGTGAGTTTGTTTTCCTGGCTTCGCCTTGTTTACATTCTGTAATTATGGAAACTAATGTTTGTTTTTTTCTTATATGGTCTTTACGGTAGAGCTTTGCTGATTGGTTGAGGGATATAAACACTGGCAATGTTTATGGAATCATTATCACCTGTGGAGTCCTATGTCATTGTAAAACATGTAATTTTGGTTGGCGCCAAGGCTCACTAGGCTAATCCTCTGCCTGCGGCGCCACTACCCTGGGTTCTAGTCCCAGCTGGGGTGCCGGATTCTGTCCTGGTTGCTCCTCTTCCAGTTTAGCTCTCTGCTGTGGCCCGGGAAGGCAGTGGAGGATGGCCCAAGTGCTTGGGCCCTGCACCTGCATGGGAGACCAGGAGGAAGCACCTGGCTCCTGGCTTTGGATCAGCGCAGCACTGGCCATGGTGGCCATTTGGGGGGGTGAACCAATGGAAGGAAGACCTTTCTCTCTATCTCTCTTTCTCTGTCTAACTCTGCCTGTCAAAAAAAAAAAAAAAAAAAAAAAAAAAAAAAGTAAAACATGTAATTTTGTGAAGCAGTTATGAAGTGCTTTTCCACACTTCCACAACAAAAGATTCTCAAAGCCACTTTGAATTGTAAGATGTCACTGTGTTCTACACTGGACTCCACGGGAGAATGGCTGCACATGTTCATTTCCCAGCAGGTTTCTCATTCATCATGGTTTGCATGCTTAAACTCACACATCCCGTTGATTACGAAATGATCCTTTTGCAAGTGTGTGAACCTATTTTTGTTTTCCATTTTACCCAAAGACTTTAAACACAGAAAGGCTGTGAATAAACTTTCTTTATAAACTCTGTGTAAGTAACTAGTGCCACAATACTCCATTATTTACAATTTTGGGCCTGCATTTAAGAAACACTGGCTCTTGCTTCAGAGAAGGAGAAAGCTAGTTTTTGCCATTCACTTGGAATTACTTGGTGATTTTTTAAAGAGCCCTTATCTGGATTATTTATGATATTTTATGCATGGTCCTATCACATTTATAGCCTTTGTCTGGGGAGTAAGGGAGTGGGGATAACCATAGAGTTTAGCTGTTGGACTTCTACCAGGGAGCTGTGTGTGAGTTGATATTGTGACGGCCAGGGGGCACTGTAGTTCAATGTTAGTGTTTTGTTCTGTTTGCATTCCCAAATTGGTTTGTTGAAGTAATTCAGGATGGGGATTAAGATTTTGTTTGACTGAAACAACAATTAGTGGGAAGAATGGAAAGTAGGAAGCATCAATGAGTCTTGGGTCCTCCTGGCAATCTGACAAGTATGTCCTTCGCCCTGGCCTCTGAGCAAATTCTGTGCTTTAACAGCAGTTTTGGGGAGTATTGAAAACTTTGAAGGTGGTCAGATATATTCCTGGAATTCATATATTATGGTGTTTTCATTCCTTCTTGAAGCAAACCAATTAGAAACTCAAACAAACAAAAAGTATTGCCAGAAAGGATTACATAAATGAAATATGGCACGTTTATAAAGTGACTATAAGCAGAGTGGGGTCAGCCTGTGTGTTCTGGCATGGTTTGCAGTTCCTTCAGATGATCCAAGTCTCAATCAGCAAAAGTTACACGAACCTACTTGCAAAAGGACCTCCTTGCAGACTAAGTTTCTCAAAAGTTTTTATTTTATTTGTGTTGCTTACAATTTAGACCAATGCTATTGATTGTTGTTACCCCCTTGACATTGAGAACCAAGATATAAGTTCTATCTGAGAGTCCAGCCAACATACCTGAGACGCTACCATGTATGGAATGGCCCTACTAGTCATGTCTATGATATGAGTTGAGAACATATCCTCGTGTGGCATATCATCAATACTGAGGACAAGAGGAGCCCACAGTCATCTTTAGGCCACTTGGAAAGTCATCGTTAGAAGGACAATGACAGTTGTTTCTGCTGAAAACTGTGCTCTCTCACAGTCTCATGGGACTGAGATGCCTCACATGGCCACATATCAGTGTGCAAACACGTTACACACTGGGATGTAGAACGGACGACAGCGTCTCCATCACAGCAGCAGTCCTAGGCAGTCACGCACGGCACGCACGGTGTGTGCAGACTCCATCACATTCATCTCCACTTCATGAAGAGGAACAAGGAGGAGAAACAGTCCCCAGCTGGCAAAGATTAAGTTAATGTTTACCAGGAGTTATGGATCTGGACTAAAGTCACTATAACCAAAGGTCTACAACCTCCTGGAGTAAACAGTACCCAAACTGCAATTCTGGCCCGTGTGTCATCATGTCTGATGATCAGCCGGCACTCATTGCGGGGTGACCTGACAACACAGAGCCTTGAGAAGCATATCTCCTATGGCCATCTGATGTTGGATTTTTTTTTTTCTGTATTCCTCCTAGAATCACTCTGAAGCAACACAAGGATAAAAACAAGAATCCCTTCTTAGTTGAAATAAAAGTTACTTATAGAAAATAAATATCTCTGTCTTGTGCCAAGCACTATGTCAGGTGCCATAAATGTGAGATGATGAAAAGATACAACTTTTAGATCTCCACCCATAAATATAACTCAGAGAGAAAGAGCAGGTCCATTATTGGTTAAAAACTGTCAGCTACAAGGCTCCCTTTGTCATATTTGTTTTAAATCCCATTGATATTTTTGTACCTGGGAGATACTGTGAGTACACGGAGTCTTCTAAAAGGCTGGGGAAAATATATATTATGAAAAAACTACTCATAGATTTCAAAAATTTTTTGCACCCAAAGTTAAGTTATCTTTGAATTCCATCTTCCCACAAACTTTTTGAAGGTGCTTTAGGCTGCTGTTGAAGCAGAACAGTTTTTTTCTACGAATAAAGATTTGCTTCTTGATTATCTCAGGGCCTGTGCAACAGTGGAGTCAGAAAAGTCTCTGAGATTGACAGGTTGGGGAGAGGGACCCAGGGAATCTTCAGAAATCTGGACCCGGCTACTGGCCCAGTTATTTCAGGGCTTCCTGCCTCTGCTATTATATAATGGAGTGCTCTTCAAATTCTCACTTCCCCTGCCCCCTTGCACTCTTCAAATTACTGCTGAAGCAGCTGGAGCCAGGGCTGCTGCAGCCTGGAGCGGCAGCCAGGGCAGCTGCTGTTGGAGTGGGAGCAGGGACAGGAGTCAGATTCTAATTTGATCATCCACCTCCCTTCACACGCCTGAAGTGTGAGTTCTGTCCCCCTCCACCATAAACACAGTGAAAATATTTCTGATACTACCTAGAGGGTGGAGGAGAATCTCTCTCCGTCCACAGCTAAAGAGCGTTTGAAAACAAGGATACCGCCTCTGAGGTGAGCAGCCGACTTGTATACGGAATTCTGTAATCTTTCCAACTCTATCACTATTTTGCTGAAAAACTCTCCTTTTCGTGTTCACTTCTTTAAAAAATCGAAAAGCGCTTTGCCATCACCGGGGTGGGAAAAAGTCCAATAAAATTCTGCTCTTTCATCACTGCTTTAGCAAAATGGCTTCTTGCCATAATTGGCAAAGAAATGCTCCGCAGGGCAGCATAGAAAGTGAGTGGAGGGGGCTGGAGTGCCCGCAGCGCCTGAGGAAGCAAATAGCGCAGGAATAACCTGGAAAATATATGCAAATGATCTGCTGTCATTGCTCATGGCCACGTGAAACCATGGTTGGTAGCTCTGACTCAGAAATTTGCTAATGACTCTGGCAGTGCCTCTGACCTCAATCTCGCCCTCACCAACGCAAGCACACAGTTGCTGATAAGTCTCTCAGGAATCTGAGCTGCAGCCTCTCCTCCGGCCCTAGGTTTGAACAGACCTCAGTCCATTTAAGGAGGAAAAAGTGTATGTTCAGAGAGCCTAGAAAGCTTCCCCAGTTTGGGTCTGTGTGTTAAGGATCGTTTTCCCACCGTGGAGTGAAGGCTTTTAGAGATTTTTACCTAGCATGGGCTAATGATTCATTTGTTTGCTCATTTTTATCAATCAAAGGCATATGTATCTGCCAATCAAAGCACTTAACTAGAAGGAGATACTCAGAATCACCAAGCAAAAGCAGCTAGACCCATTGCTGTGATCAGCCCATGCAAATTAAAGGTAAAGAACCGGGAAGAAGCTCCTGGCTTTGGATCTGCCCAGCTCTGGACCATCTGGGGAGTGAACCAGAGGATGGAAGACCCCCCCCCCCTCTCTCTGCCTCTGCCTCTCTATAACTCTGCTTTGCAAATAATCTTTTTTAAAAAAAATCTCAGATAAATTGATTATCCCTTAGCCAAATTAAAAAAAAAAAGTTAAAGTCTAAAGTCCTATTGGATTTTTGAAACAACAAAAATGGCTTTGGTCCTATTGTTAACTTTATGGACTCCTGTCTAGGGATCAGAGATAATTTTCCAGGTGATTGGGAGAGAAAGAAAAGTAAACGGCTTTATCATAGTGATTGCTGTTGCATCAGAGGCATACTGTGAATGACACAAAGCCTGGGAGTTCCCAGGAAGGTTTGAAATTGAGTGGAGAAGCCGAGGTCGGACGCGCTCAGGGTATTCTTATGTCTTGTAAGTTTTAGTTACACCTAAGTGTCCAACTCCATTGCTTGTTTTTGCTTCCTTAATTTATGATAAAACTCGTTCTCAAGGACTTATTTTCTTTTGATGTATTAAATGGAGGATATTCTTATGTCTTATAGTTATGTCTAAGTGCTCGCAAAAGATGTTATCATTCTTGGATGCTTCTTTAAAGTTAATGAAGTTTCTAAAAAAAAAAAAAAAAGTGAAATTAACTCCAAAAAGCCTTTGTCTCAACTGTTGAGGAATAGTGTGTTTTTTCCATGCAATTTGCTGACCTCTTTACTGAGTACAGAGTTGGTCTTCTGTGTATATAGTTAATTAAAAATTGATATTATAAAAAAAATAAATCTTAGTGGAGAATGGAACTGGGAATGGGAGAAGGAGGAGGAGGGGTGGGAGGGAAGGGGGTACAATTAGAAGAATCACTATATTCCTAAAGTTGTATTTATCAAATGCATGAAGTTTGCATTCCTTAAATAAAATGTTTTTTTTTGGGGGGGGGGAAGAAATTGAGTGCAGATAAGGTCTCCTCTCTAGTGTCACCTGTCTGCTATACGGATGGTGTTGAGGGAGGGATAAGGGGAGGGGCTTTAGCTGGGACCGGTTTTAAACTATTCAGTGGATTAGCTGCCTTTGAAGAGTCAGCAGTGTCCCTACAGTGTCACGAATGACATTGTCTTGATTTCTGTGGCACTTAAGCTTAAGCTCTGTTTTACGGCTAGTTGACTTAGCACTGACACTCAGAGACATAAGAAGTAGCTCTAGTAGCTGTATTTTACACACATACATCCCACTGCAAATTCCTCACCCAAGTGTTGTGTCCTCTAGCTCCCAACATGTTGCATCTCTTAAGTCTTTGAAAACAGTCAAGTCGAAACCTCAAATGCAGCTGGCAGAAAATGAACCTGAAAACTCACTAGGCAACTTGTTTAACCTAAGGTTTGCCTAGCTGATGGGGAGATGGGTAACCATGGCTCACTCTGGATTCCACAATGGATTTTAGAAAGCCATCTTGGATGAACTGATAAGGCAAAACTTCACTGAAACAGATGTTTCTAGGGAAGCCACGGATTTAAACCTTTCTTTAAAAACTGGTATTCATTGGAGAAAATAATTTTTTGAAATTTTGCTTGAAGCCAGTGTTTCTCAACTTCAGCTCAATTTACTTTTTTAAAAGCCATTATAATCTTTATTTTGATTTAGTTTTTATTTATTTAAAAGGCAGAGTGACAGAGAGAGAGAGAAAGAAAGAAAAAGAGAAAGAGGAAGAGAGAGAGAGAAAGAGAAAGAGAGAGAGAGAAAAGGAGAAAGAATCTCCCATCTGCTGGCTCATTCCCCAAACTCCTGTAAGAGCTGAGTCTGGGTTAGGCTGAAGCCAGGAGCCTGGAACTCAATCCAGGTCTCCCACACTGGCAGGGACCCAAAGTACCTGAACCATCATCTATTGCCTCCCAGGTTGTACATTAGCAGAAAACCAGATTGGACACTGAGGTGGGACTCAATCCTGGGCACTCTGATACAGGATGTGTGTATCCCAAGCAGCAGTTTAACCTGCTGTACCCCATGCCTACCCCTCCACTGACATTTTGAGCTGGATAATTCTTTGTTGTGGGGGCTGTCATCCCCAGTCAGCAGTGGGGAGCAGTGTGGAGGTCAAGCCAGAGCCTGGGGGATAGAAGTGGGCCTGGCTTCAGAGCCCATGACACTGAAGCTTCTGCAGGGGTTAGGGACACAGATCTAGAACCACAGGGCCAGGGGGCCAGAGGAGGTAGCTGCTGGTGCCAATTAGCAATTATCCAAATTTTTCCTGCACATGGACCCCCAGATCAGGAGAGGGAAGTGTCTTGCCCAAAAGCACACAGCTAATACGTGGCAGGCACAGGTAACAATCACTCATACTCACTGTGCACACATGTTAGGTAGAGAGATTTCTATGAGGCAGCAAGCTCTATGCTTATAGCAGTCCTCTGTATAGGCATCTTTGCTTCGTACCCATTTTATGGATTGGGAAACTGGGACAGAGAAGAGTCAGTCTCTGAACTGCCCCCTGTGGTTCTGGGAGGGCATCTGCAGCCCCAGGGTGGGGTGTCCATGGAGACTCACATGGCCGCCCCCTCTTCCCTGGCCTCCAGTCCCACTCTTTCCTCCCCCAAGCAGCAGTCCAGAAGAGAAACAGCCTAAGGCTGGGGTGTGGAAAGTGCCAGGGTTTGTGGTCTTTATCCATCACTGGGAAAGCCCTCATCCTCTCGCAGCCTTGCTCCCTTCCTCTGACAGGTGCAAGGGTGGTCTCCGTAGCTCAGGGCTCAGAATTGGGGGTGGGGTGGGGACAAAATGAATCATAATTGATAACTGTCAAAGCCTATTTCTGACAGTATAGAATCTCTTTGGGCCTAAATATGCCATTTCTACAAACAATAGACTATAGACCCAGCTATGGGTTTCACCTATTTTATCTTCTTAATACCAGAAAATCCAATGTGACTCAGTATTGCATGTCTGAACTTACTGTCTTGGGCAACATATAAGCTTAGTCTTTGGAATATAAGGGAAAGAACAATGCACTGAGAAGTGGGAGAACTTGTTTCCAGGTCTGATTCTGCCACTTACCAGCCCTGTGACATCAGCTAAATCGCTGAATCTCTCTGGCCTCTCTGTTTTGTTTTGTTTTTGTTGTTGTTGTTTGTGTTTTTTTGTTTGTTTTTTGTTTTTTCCATTTGCAAGTTAAAATACCTGACTGAATTTTCCAGTTCTAAATGGAGAGATTCTCAGACTCCAGATTTAATGCCACCACAATAGTTCACACCACTGAATAGAACATGAAAGCTCTTTGTCGGGGGGTGAGGCTGTCCGTCACACCTACCAAGAGCGTTGACTCCCTCTCCTTGAGTGTCAGAGACAGGCCCTGCAATGCATGCCTCTGAAATCCAGAGAAACCTTGGGAGAATCTCATCAGCAGATATGCATGTCTGGTGTTAGTCGTGGAATGACCATCAGGACCCGTGGGCTCACCAGGGAAGACGCTTCTCATCACAAAAACTGGTAGTAGCGATCTAGAACTTGAAGTGATTGTGGATCTTCCCCCAAACCAAAACCAACTGCAGACCCCATGTTGTGCCTATTTGATGCCAAAATCCTGAGATAACTAAATCAGCATTTTTAAAGCTATACTGGGGAGGGCTGCGGCCCTTGGCCCAGTGGCTAAGATGCCCCTTGGGACATCCACATCCCATTTCAGAGTGCTTGGGTTTGAGGCCTGGCTCTGCTCTGATTCCAGCTTCCTGCTAATGCATACAAGTGGAAGACAACAAGAAATGGCTCAAGTGGTTGGGCCCCTGACACCCATGCGGGAGACCGGATTGCATTTCCAGCTTCTGGCTTTGGTCTGACCCAGCCCTGTCTGTTGCAGGCATTCAGGGAATGAACAAGCGGATGGAGATCTCTGTCTTTCTGTCTCTCCTTCTCTCTCTCTCTCTCTCTCTGCATTTCAAATAAAAATATATAAATAAAAATTAAAGCCATGACAGAAAGAAGTGATGCTTTGATTACCTTTGTAAACACAGGAGCTGCAATGATAGGTTTTCCATCCAGTCCTTGCAAATAGTTGGTAGGGCTCTGACACTGTTCAAAGGAAACCAACAGTTTCTCATCAGCAGAATTATTAGGTGGAGAGATAGATAGGGTAAATCGACAGAATTTTAGGTGTGCAATTAATTACAAACCAAATGATTGATGTTTACTAAATTAGTGAATCACAGATTTCAAATTCTAGACTGTACAGATTGAATTTATTTCTGGGTCACAGTGGCTGTAAAATATAGGTACCCTTCCCTACCCTGGCTTCTCACACATAGATCTGAAGGGGCCCATAAAATCACCGGGGCTGCAGAGATCACAGTTTGAAAACCAGTGGATTAGAGCTAAACCTTGGTTCCTCTGGATGACTCAATGGCTTAGATAAGTAACCTTGAATTTTTTTAAAAAAAGTTGAAAATCAATGTTTGAATCTGTTTTCATCAATAAATAATTATATGGATAACCTGTTATAAACATATCTAAATCGCATGATTTCACATGTCTTAAAGTATATGTGTCCCAAAATATTCTTACATATGCGTAGAGAATTTCTAGAACTATCTCGAGACAAAGTACTAGTAGGAAGTAACTCTGAGGAGCAGGGGCACAGGCGTAGAATCCTGACTGAAGTTTTTACTTAATATACTTCCACACTCAGGGAATGTTTTTGCACTAAGCATGCATTATAATCAATTTGGAGGGTAAGAACCTTTACTGTTTTCTGGGTAACTTCATGCTATCACTCTATCTCAGAAACTAGAATTCTTTGCAGCACCACACAACTGAATTTTATGTTAAAGAGCATTTGTCCTGGGCCAGTTCATGAGCTGGCAGTTCACTGGATATGAAAACAGCACTCTTTATAAAACTGGGATATCAGAAATTAATTTTTAAAAAGTTTCTTTTCCTGTGAAATTTACCCAAGCTGGAGGATAAGTTCCTAAAGAAAAGGGAACCACTGCTCTCATGCGCTGGAAGTATAAAATGCTTATCATGATAAAGGAGTTGCATTAGGGAAAACATGGTCGTGCTATGCACAATGGTCGTGGTCATAGTGCGTGTCCAGCACGGTTCATGAAGCTTGTGTTTCAGAAGTAGGTGTTTTGGCATGGTGGTTGAGATACCACTTGGGAAACCTGCATCCCATAGCAAAGTGCCTGGGCTCAAGCCTTAGCTCCACTTCCAGCTCCAGCTTCTTGCTCATGTGCTCCCAAAGAGGCAGCAGGTGATAGCCCAATCTCTGGGACCCACATGGGAATCCTGGATGGAGTTCTAGGCTCCTGGCCTCAGCCTAGCTCACCCATGGCTCTTGCTGGGGAGTAAACCAGTAGATGGAAGATGTCTGTCTATCTGTGTCTTTCTGCTTCTTTTCTTCTCATAGATAAAAGCTTTTTTAAAAATTGAGTTTTTTTTTTTAGAAGAAACTTATGTTTCACTTAGATTCTTGTACCTGCTGGATGGTTGACACACTGGGCTGAGCCACCAAATGCTGGCCCTGGGGCACTGCTGGAGGAATGGCTGCAGAGGTAGCGGGAGGAGATGACACTTCATTTGGCTTCTGGAATCTGAGAAATTATTAACATAGAGATTTAAGACAGAATCAACAATTAGTGTGAAAGTGCTTTCAGCAAACCTAGTAATGTCATCACTGCTTACAGTTGGATGTGTAAAATCTTCCTGTGACAGTCGTCTCCAAACAGCTACGGAGAGCTCCCACGCTGCATGCTTTGTTAGGCAAAGCTCACATGAGGTTGAATAAGGCACCATTCCTGTCCCTGGCTTAGTTGCTGTCCATGTGGACAGGGGAGAGGAGCCAGTCGGGGCGAGCCAGGGGCTAAAGCATATTAACAACTAACGGATCTGAGGCAAGCGCTGTGACAGATGTCCGTGCAGAAGGTCATTTCTGGAGGTTTGCTTTGCTGTTGTCCCCTGTGTTTTCCTTCCCCTTCTCATTTCAAATAAGAGACCCGGCTTTGCAAAGCTGCACCTCTGGGATTTCTGGTACAGCAGAGAGCAGAAACAGCCTGAAGTCAGTAAACTCTTCAAGTTTACACAAATTAAAATGAGTATTTGAAGGGCAAGAGAATCAGGAAGTCTTCTTGAGAAAGCTACGGAGGTGAGGTTATTTTAGGGTCGGTGCGGAGAAGAGAGTGATCTTTGGATCTTGCTGGAGAACATGACGAGCCCAGAGGCCATGGCAACCTGTCTGGGAAAGGGCCCTCGTCTTGCTCACTAAGTCAGGACATAAGCATGAAAGAAAGCAACATGCGCTGGACTTGGAGGGAACTTGAGATTGGCAGTCTTTCTGTGGGGGTAGATGGCCAAGGACAGAGGGCTCCCTTTGTTTGTTCTGGGTAACATTGTCTGCCTCACCTTTCTGGCCTTGGACCCAGGGAAGTAATCATTCTTAGCCTGTGGGGTTTCTGACACAGTTAAATGAGATACTCCATGTAAGGTGCTCCAAATGGTACTTGCTCCCACACTGCTCAGTACATACCCCAAGGATCTCTGTGCAATGGCGGTGGGAGGAAAGGGCCACTGCATTTCTCCCCGGCCAGACAGAATGGGTCTCAGAAGCAGAATTACATCATGAGGCCGAGCCTGTCGGCGTCTCCAAAGCTTGCTTTCCTACTTCGGATGAGAGACTGCATCTCCAGCCCTCGCTGCAGCTGGGTGTGGCAGCACGACTCCTTTCTGGTCTTGGGCCACGTGGGAGAGTGATACACGCATTTTAAGACAGAGGATATTAAAAAGAGGCTAGGCATGTCCTTTATGTCTCCCTATCTCAGACTAAGAAGTTGAGGATCACATCTTAGCATGAGATGAAGCAGAAAGCTGGAAGCAGACTGGAACCTAGTGGAACCTAGAGCTGTTTTGCAAGACAAATCTAGATTCTTATGTAAATAGGCAGCTTAAATCATAGTTCAGTCAGATTTCTGTTACACACAACCAAAGCTAAATCCTAACAATTATAAGCAGAGTTAAAGCAAATAGATAAATGGAAATTTTTGCTTAATTTTACTTGTATATCATAATTCATGCTTCTTAGTTCTGTAACACATTATGGGAACTTTGAGGAAGGTGTGACGAGTGTGCAATAGAGAGAAGCTTGTAGAACTCAAAGAGGGAGAACATTTAGGCTGGATTTTGAAGGATCAATAGGCAAAGAAGGAGACAGGGCATTCCTAGCAAAGTGAACAGCTCGAATGACAGGTGAAAATGAACCACATATTCCTGGAATGTAGTAAGCAGTGTAGACAGTCTGAAGTGGGGAATGGAGGAGGGGACAGGAAAGCTATGTTGATACTCCACTGAATAAGGCTTTGTGAGTAGGCTGTGCTAAGATTAAAAATAAGTTGATTCGTGTTTGATTTTGTTTTTATGTAAATAATAATTTTTTTTTAATTAGCAAAGTGATAGGACTAGATTGATCTTTCAGAAAATAATTGGCTGCAGTTTGGAGGCTGTGAAAAAGAGGGAGAGGCCAGAGCAGATAGGAAGATCTGTAAGGAGATCAGTGGCATAAAAGGCAGGAAAGAAAGAATTGAGCCAAGGCCAGGACAATGACAAGGAATGAAGGTAAAGGAAAATTATTTACTCTGGTGATGATTGTCCACATCCGCACAAGATCTGAGAATGAGTCATCTCTTCAAGGTAGGCACATGCCAAGGTATTTGAAGAATAAGAAGAATCTGCCCTCAAGAAGTTTACCCTCTTCAGGGAAAGACAGAATATACAGAGAGTGAACAGCTCCTCCAAATACTGCCACTGTGGCAGGTGGTCTGGAGGAATGGTTACTCTGTGTCTGGTTCCCAGCCCGTGTCTTATCTGCCTGGAAGGCATTTCCTCCCTTGCACTGGGGGTGTCTGCCTGCTGTCCTTTGAAGACCCAGCTTAGGGTCACCAACCCTGTGAGGCCTTTCCTGATCTCTTTCTTCCTCCCACCCAATGAATAGTTGTTTGTGCTAAGTCTTACATACTTTGTGTATGTCATCATAGCCTATTACTCTGTATTATTCTTGCTGTCTATATGCATTTCTTGCAATACTTGATATATACATTTCCCTTTATTAGACTGTGAGCCTCTTAAAGGCAGGAAGCATCTGATTTTTCTGGGTATCCAGTAAATCTAGAACAGCGCCTGGGGTGAGCAGGTGCTCAGTCAATGGTTGTGGAAGGTAACAAATGGATGGAAATAACTCGTTCAGTGTCTAGCAAAGTGGTTATGACTTTCCCAGATTTCTCATTTATATATACATATAAAATTATTATATGATATTAAACAGTAGTAAATAATCTAAATTATATATGCATACATACACACATATACATACATAAAACATTCAGGATCACCAGGTTTTAAGTTTTTATGAGTACTATTGTTTAGTCAGAAAATATAAATTTTTAAAGTCACTTGATTGCTTATTTTTCATTCTGTAGATATAAGTATAATGATATTTCATAGTATATACTTCATTTTTAAAATATTGGGAACATATAAATTCATCTGCTAGGGAAGACTTAAACAAGAGAAGCAGAGTCTTTTCCAAATCAACTCAATTTGTATTTCTTGAGATAATACCCTAAAGTCACCTTCTTCAAGTTTTTGTAACCAATTGCTAGCTTTCTCACAATCTGAGGATGCTAAGGCCATAAGATAGAAAACGAGAATTACCGATTCATCTCTTCTTTGTTAGGGTCCCCTTCTGAGTCAGAAGAAGAAACCCCTGGAAATATAAAAACAAGACATGAGATTTTTAAGAAGACGATTTCTTAAACCAGTCCCTAGACCTCTGAAGACCTATGGAGTCATAGACTTAGAGATGAAATCGACCCTAAGAAGTTGAAGGAACTGCTCAAGGTCATGTGACTTGGTTAATGACAGAGTTCAAATTAATCAGTCCAACTTCTCAGTGTTGTCGTAAAACACCTACTAATGCCTTCGGACTAACAGAGCAGTCTCTGCAGACCCTCGCTGGTGTTCCCAAGTCCTCCTGTTCTTGACCTACACAGATTGAATAAAAGAGGGATGACACTGGATTCCCAACATTGTAGGTGTAGGTGGATGCTCTTCCGTCCTGTCCTAATATTAATAAGTGATACCATATCTTGGGAGTGGGGGTGTTTGAAGTCCTGTTGTCACAAAGGAAAAAAACCAGCAATCCAATCTCAGCACTGTTAGTAGAGCCTTGACTCCGGATTTACTTCTCAAGATAGCAAATTCCAGGAAGAAATAATAGAGCTAAATCTGGAAGTATTTTTTGCACTCCAAAAATTTGAGGATAAAAACATACAACACATTGCTACTCTTGCATTTATTCAATAAATATTTAACACATTCACACTATGTACTTGGCATTATGTATGATATTAGAGACAAATATAAAGAATAAGATAATCCTGGTTTTACAAGCTGGCTGGTAAATGAGCACTTGTACCATAAGAATAGCATGTAAGTGTTAAAACCCAAGGCATATCTAAGGTGTTTTAGGTGAAAAAAAAAAAGTGCTAATGAATAGTCCCAGAAAAGTTCAGAGGATAATTAAAACATGGACAAAATGGTAGACAGATGTATAAGAAACATAAGTTGATTTCTTCTCTAAAATCAATCTTGTAAGTTTGGTGCAGTAAGTGCCTTTCCAATGCGCCCAACTGTCTCTATTCTCTTAACCTAACTCTGCAGTTTATTCTCCATCAGTAGCAAGAATGACTCTGTTAAAAGCTAAGTCAGAGGCCAGCGCTGTGGTGTAGCAGGTAAAGCTGCTGCCTGCAGCTACCCGCATCCCATACAGGCGCCAGTTTGAGTCCCTACTGCTCCACTTCTGATCCAGCTCCCTGCTAATGTGCCTGGGAAAGCAGCAGAAGATGGTCCAAATACTTGGGGAGTGAACCAGTGGATCCAAGACCTCTCTCTCATTGCCTCTGCCTTGCCCTCTCTGTAACTCTAACTTTCAAATAAATAAATAAATAAATAAATCTTTAGGGAAAAAAAAAGCTCAGTCAGATGATGTAATGCCTATGCTCAGAACCCACCAGTACTTTCCGTTTCCGTGAGAAGAGGGAAAAGTTTTCCAGTGACCTACAAGGACTTAGATGATCTGTTCACCTGCCTCTTCCCCATCTACATCCCTCTCAAACGTCACACCTCATCTCTTGATAGTTTCGTCCTTGCTTGGTCCATTCTGGCCACACTGGCTCATCTCTGTGCCTTAAGACGAGCATTCTCTCTGCTCAAGGCCACGGAATCTGATGGTTTCTCTGCCCAGAGTGCTTTTCTCTTGAATCTCCTTGTTGGCTCGCTCCCTCACTTCAACCTGGTCTTCATTTAAATGTCACCTGGTTAATGAGGTCTTCCCTGGTCACTCTAAAAGTACAGCTAACACACACATATGCACACACATACAGAAGGAAGGCACTACACATCCTTGTCTCTTGCTTCCTCTTTCTTCCGTAGTGTTTATCTACACCTGTCGTGTATTTATCTTACTTATTTTTGGTCTCTCCTACAAAGTAAATTCATCAGTACATAAACCTAGGGATTCATCATTTCATCTACTCGGTTCATTGCTATAACCCCACTGCCTGGGAGAATGTATGGTAGAGGAAGCCCTCAGTAGATGTCATGTATTATAACCACATGTCTTACTAGTAAGGGTTATGTTCCCAGAGTATTTTGCTTTACCTTCTATATAAATCTCAGCAGAAGTTGAATCTGTCCCATAGATGTTAGAAGCAAAGCAGGAGTAGCGTCCTGTGTCCTCTTCAAAGGCTTCAGCAATGGTCAGCGAGTGCAGATTTCCTGCCTGGACAATCTGAATATCTGGGGAATTCTCGAGTTCCTTGCCTTCACAGTACCACCTTCAAGGAAGGAGATAGAGCCATTTATCACAACTAAAATATGAGGCTTATAGTAGGTGGCTCCAGATGGTTCCTAAGAAGAAAACTGTGACAAAACTCAGTTTACAATTAGAACATTAAATAATCCATCGTTCTGGCATTACCTGATCGTAACAAGAAGAGTTTATAGTATTCAAACCCCATTGACAGCCTATCAGGGAAATAGAGATGGTTCCTCTTGAGAATGATAGGACTAGGGGAGGGTACAGTGGCACCGTGGCACCGTGGGTTAAGCCACTGCCTGGGACTCCTGCATCGCATATCGGAAGGCCTGGGATCAAATTCTGCTTCTGCTTCCCTTCTAGTTTCCTGTTAATGCACTGGGAGGCAGTAGAGGATGGCTCAAGTACTTGGCTCCTTGCAACCCTTGTGGGAGACCCAGGTGGAGTTCCTGGCTCCTGGCTGTAGCCTAGTCCAGCCCCAGCTGTTGCAGGCTTTTGGGGAGTGAACCAGTGGATGAAAGATCGCTCTCTGTGCCTCTTTGTGTGTCTTTATTGCTCTGCCTTTCGAATAATAATAATAATAATAATGGAGCAGGAGATGGGAGGGTTGCGGGTGGGAGGGAAATTATGGGGGGTGGGGAAGCCACTGTAATCCATAAGCTGTACTTTGGAAATTTATATTCATTAAATAAAAGTTAAAAAAAAAAGACATTGAAAAAAATAATAAATGACACAACTGAATATAGAGGAGATGGATGAGAAAGCAAGTACAGGGGCCGGTACTGTGGCACAGTGGGTTAATGCCCTGGCCTGAAGTACCGGCATCCCATGTGGGCGCCAGTTCTAGTCCCGGCTGCTCCACTTCCAAGCCAGCTCTCTGCTATGGCCTGGGAAAGCAGTAGAAGATGGCTCAAGTCCTTGGACCCCTGCACCCATATGGAAGACCCTGAAGAAGCTCCTGGATCCTGGCTTCGGATCAGCACAGCTCTGGCCATTGCAGCCAATTGGGGAGTGAACCCGCAGATGGAAGACCTCTCTCTCTCTCTCTCTCTCCACTTCTCCTCTCTCTGTGTAACACTACTTTCAAATAAATAAATAAACCTTAAAAAAAAAAAAAAGAAAGCAAGTACAATAACCATGAAAAGCAAGGTCTGTGATGTGGAATTTAGCTTCTATTTTTTGTTTTGTTTTGACAGGCAGAGTGGACAGTGAGAGAGAGAGAGACAGAGAGAAAGGTCTTCCTTTGCCGTTGATTCACCCTCCAATGGCCGCTGCGGCCGGTGCACTGCGCTGATCCTTTGGCAGGAGCCAGGTGCTTCTTCTGGTCTCCCATGGGGTGCAGGGCCCAAGTACTTGGGCCATCCTCCACTGTGCTCCCTGGCCACAGCAGAGAGCTGGCCTGGAAGAGGGGCAACCGGGACAGAATCCGGCGCCCCGACCGGGACTAGAACCCGGTGTGCCGGCGCTGCAAGGTGGAGGATTAGCCTAGTGAGCTGCGGCGCCGGTCAAATTTAGCTTCTATTAAAATAACTTCCAGCTCTCTATGGTATTCATTAAATGAGGGCTACACTGGCTGACTTAGAATCTAACAGGTAATCAAAGTTTGTGAAGTTGAATTTACTCTCTCCCTCTGCATTTTGTCTAACAAAATTAAAGTTAATTTTTTTCTGTTACTTGAGTCATCAGAGTAAGGAGAATGGGCCACATCCTCCCAGAAGTGGCCCAATCCCAGCAAATAACCTAAATAAAGTATGTTCCTATAGGGTATGGCATTTTATTTTTTTTATTTTTTAAAGATTTGTTTATTTACTTGGAAGTCAGAGTTACACAGAGAAAGAAGGAGAGAAAGAGAGAGAGAGAGAGAGAGAGAGAGAGAAAGTGTTCCATCCACTGGTTCACTGGTTCACTCCCCAGATGGCCGCAATGGCTGGAGCTGCGCCAATCTATAACCAGGAGCCAGGAGCTGCTTCTGTGTCTCCCACGCGGGTGCAGGGGCCCAAGGACTTGGACCATCTTCTACTGCTTTCCCAGGCCATAGCAGAGAGCCGGATAGGAGGTGCAGTAGCCGGGATGAGAACCGGCGCCCATATGGTATGCCGGCACTCCAGGCGGCGGTTTTACCCACTACACCACAGTGCTGGCCCCTATGGCATTTAATTTTAATGCTTTACATTTTAAGTCAGAAATGTTTACTATAGCACAGTTTTTTAGACCAAAGGTTTGCATAAAGTATATATAAATGTATATAATGTTTAAAAACATGCAGGTATATAAGAGAAATGGACATTAATGTTAAATGGAAATTTTTGCATAAATGATTGACATTAAGTCTAGAAGTTTAGCCAGTCTCATACATAGCTAACAGTAGTGTAAAATAACCCCTATGAAAAGTAACTTTCATAGGTACGAATGTGTTTATCTCTGAACCCAACAATCCCACCTGTGGGAGTCTGTTGTACATATACACCTGCACATACATAAAATGACAATATACTACATTTGTCATTGGCCATTCATTGAAGTAGTAAAAGATGGGACACAATTCAGGTGTCTCTCATTGGGAGACTGATGCAAACAAGCATGGTATGGCCACATAGTTGAACATTATTCAGCTGTAAAAAGAGACTGAGAAAGATAATTATACACTTATGGAAATAACACAAGATATATATTTAAAATTTAACAGGAAGGTAAAACAAATAGTGCATATAAGGTAGTAGCTCTCTGGAAGAAATGGGGTATTACAGGTTCAGTTACATCCCTCAAGAAGATAAGTTGAAATCATCGCCCCAGTTCTTATGAATATTGCTTTATTCAGAAACAATCTTTGCAAATATAATCACATTAAAATGAGAACCTTAGGGTGGGCTCTAATCCAAAAAGTACTGAGTCCTTTTGGAAAGAGAGACTCACAGAGAGAAGGCCGTGTGCCACCACAGACAGAGACTGGGGGAATGCAGCTGTGGCCAAGGTACAGCGAGGAGGGGCAGCCCCAGCCAGAAGTTAAAAGAGGCGAGAAGATTCCACCCAGGGACTCAGGTTGAGCATGGCCCTGGAGACACTTTAATTATAGACTTCCAGCTTCTAGAACTGTGAGACAATACACTTCTGTTGTTTTAAGCCAGCCATCTGTGGTAACTTATTACAGCAGTGCTAGGAAACAGATAGGGGGGACAAAAAGTAAGATACATTCAGATAGATGAGCAGACAGCAGCAAACTGTCTCAGTCGACCTCCTTTATGTCGTATTCACTTTTGGAAGCAACAATTATTAATCAACACAATAAAAATGCATTAACTGGGAAGGTATCACAAGTATTCGATCTCAGAAATCAAGGAGTCCTGACAGTTGCTAATCTTTACTGTAATTTCAGATCTAACTGCTCAGTGCTTTAATGAGCCCCTCCTACCATCTCTGAAGCAAGAGTCTAAAGCACATTTTAGTAAACCCACTTATTCAACTACTTGCAACAGTCAAGTGCTCTCTGCTGTTTCCCAGATTTGTCATGGTCACCCCCACAATTCATGTCTCTGCTTGTGCTTTCTGAGAGTCACTTCCTCTTTCAGTGACTGCAGATATAACTCATCTACCGAAATCTGGTTCAAATGTCACTTCCTACACAGAGCTACGTTTCACCACCAATTCTCAGGGATTGTTACATTTTCTAATTTCATTTAAAAAAAAAAAACACCCTGTACTATGTGATGCACAACTTGATTATATACTATCTTCTATCATTCTCTGCTTTGAAAGTTTGTCTCACCAATCTTACTAGATTATCCATTCTTTGGAGGTAGGGAGAGCACCTTTATAAGCTTTGGCAGTGTCCACAGCATCTAGCACAATTTTCTTTTTCTTTTTTTAAAAGATTTAATTATTTAAAAGGCAGAGTTACAGAGAAGGGGGCAGGAAGAGAGAGAGAGAGAGAGAGAGAGAGAGAGAGAATATCTTCCAACTGCTTGTTCACTCTCCAAATGGCTGCAACAGTCAGGCTGAAGCCGGGAGCCAGGAGCTTCATCCAGGTCTCCCACATGTGTGCAGGGGCCATCTGCTGCTGCTTTCTCAGGCACTTTAGCAGGGAGTTGGATTAGAAGTAGAGGAGCCGGGACTCAAACTGCTGCCCAGCAGGGGTACTGGCACTGCAGGCAGTGACTTAACTCATTAGGCCACAGTACTGGCCCTGCAATTTTCTATGGATACATTCTCTGTCAATCTTATCTCCTCGCATAGTTTCAGTCGCCTCTGTTTGGGACAGCATCCTAATTTGCCTTTCCAACCTTGACTTATGGACTCCATCTCCCACCCCTCTTCCCTCCATTGCATCCATCCACAATGTTCTGCTTTCTATTCTGTGAACACCTTAAGCTGATCCTCACTTTGGGATTTTTGTGCTTCCTTAGAACCTCTTCCCCCAGAGGTTACAAAGAGAAGTCTCAGCTTCGATGTTAGCTCCTCGAAGAGACATTCTCTCACCTCCTTCCTAATGCAACCACTTACCTTGGGTGGTTCTATTGCATTGTTACTTTCATAGCACTTATCCTTCCAGAAGTTATCTGTTTGTTCACATGGTTGTTGTTTGCTCCCCTTACTACATGCTAAAGTCCATGAAAGGACCCTATTGGCTGTAACTCAGCACCTACTACAGTGCCTTGGTACCTGGTAGGCACTCAGAAAACACGTGTTTGATGGACTTGTTCGAAGACCAAATAATGATAAAAAAATTCACATTTTATAAATATGGGAGACCCGGATGGAGCTCCTGGCTTCTGGTTTTGGCCTGGCCCAGACCCTGGCTATTGTAGCCATCTGGGGAGTGAACCAGTGGATGGTTCTCTCTTGCTCTCTCTCTCTCTCTCTCTAACTCTTTCAAATAAAAGCAAGCAAATCTTTAAAAAATATACAGGAAAAATACTGCTTCTGTACTAAACATATACATCTTTTTTTGTCATTATTCCCCAAACAGCACAGTATCACTATTTATGTAGTATTCACACTGTATCAGGCATTGTAAATAACTTA